TTGCGAAGGTTTTAGATTGCTAGAACCTGGATCTTTGTTGACTGTGTGTTGATGATTGATGGTTGCTAGTGGAATAATAAATAATGAATCTGAATTTGGATCTAAACCTTTGGAACCCTAAAAACATGGATTGGTTATGTATGATTTGGATCTGTTCTGCTTGAGATAGACTAGGTTGTGTGATATAGAATTACTAGGTCCCCGACCTTTCTGTTTTTATTTGTTGGTGCTGCTTGTTGAGCTAGTGTTGTCTGTGTGACTGTGGCAGTAGTTCAACGGTGATTGAAGGTATGCCAATTCTTTCATAGTCTGTGTGACCCAGGCCTGTCAGTGTGACCGCTTGTAACCCTTTCTGTTGTGATTGGGGTGTCCCTTTCTGTGGTGATTGGGAGACAGAATGACCTTGCTTATTGAGATCCCTTTCTGTAGTGATTGGGTGACCCCTTTCTGTTGTGATTGGTTGGGTGGAGTGACATTTTTGATAAAACGTTGATGCTTCCCTCAATGGGTTAAGGTTCCTCTGCAACTTGGTAGTTGTTTGTAGGGTTACCCTTGGTTGCTAGCTTGATTTATGATTAGTCTATCTGCTATGTTTTTTAAAATAATAAACACCAGTATAGAATATAATTAACTCCTAAGTAAGAAATCATAAGCAACCAATAAATCAAATAAGACAATGAATAGAATAAAAAATACTAATTCTACTCCTAAGAAAAATCATTTTCCTACTCGCTAACAGAATCTTCGGAAGGGTCTTCTTCGAATTCACTCTCACTGTCCGAACTGATGAGGATGGGGCCTCCAGATTGGAAAGACTTCTCGACCCACAGAGCATTGCAGTAAACCTCCCGCACCCGATCATATGGGCCTACTCCCATCTCCAGGATCCTGGATCTGAGGTTGGAATGCAAACCCTGGAAGAAGTAGTTCACGAACTCCTGAGCAGTGTAGACTTGAGGCGCAAACTTCATAGCATTGACGAATTCCTGGTGATACTCCTGAAGGGTCCGGTTGGCTTGGATGGCGACCCCTCTCCACCCACCAAGTGGATTTAGAGGAGGCCCCCCTAGTGCTGCAGAAATCTTTGGGTATTTGTAACACCTCCCATGCTCCACCAGCTGCTGAGATCCTGGCTTGCTCACCGAGGGAGGTTTAGGGGCAGACTTGGCTCCTTACTCCCGGGAATCCGCACCTGACCACACCTCCAAGAGGCACTCTCGAAGAGCTCCACCTGAGTCGGACGAATCACTCTCTTCCTTGCAGTCTCCCTGGTCTTGAGCCCGAATATGAAGGAAAAGAAAAGAAGGAAAATATTGTTAGATCAGCGTCTATAAGTTGATTGCTCTAAGTTTGAAAACATTATATAATAAAAATAGTTTTAAAAGTAAGATATGTTTCTTTTGAAATTTTTTTTTTTTTTAAAAAAGAACACAATGGCGCGATCCTTAGGAGAGAGCTAAGAGATCCCTATTTCACTTCCTCTCTAGGAAGCCTAGGATATGGATGTTACAATTGGTATCAGAGCCAGGCAGATCTCTTAGCTCTGTTCTAAGAGGTCGTGCCAATGTGTGTGTGTGTTTTTTTTTTGTTTAAAAAAAACTTCAAAAGAAACATATCCTACTTTTAAAAGTATTTTTATCATATAATGTTTTCAAACTTAGAGCAATCAACTTATAGACGCTGATCTAACAATCTTTTCCTTCTTTTATTTTCCTTCAGATTCGGGCTCAGGACCAGGGAGACTGCACGGAAGAGAGTGATTCGTCCGACTCAGGTGGAGCTCTTCGGGAGTGCCTCTTGGAAGGTGTGGTCAGGTGCGGATTCCCGGGAGTAAGGAGGCATCCAAGTCTGCCCCTAAACCTCCCTCGGTGAGCAAGCCAGGAGCTCAGCAGCTGTTGGAGCATGGGAGGTGTTGCAAGTGCCCAAAGATTTCTGCAGCACCAGAGGCGCCTCCGCTGAATCCACTTGGTGGGTGGAGAGGGTTCGCCATCCGAGCAAACCGGACCCTTCAGGAGTATCACCAGGACTTCGTCAATGATATGGAGCATGCGCCTCAAGTCTACACTGCTCAGGAGTTCGCGAACTACTTCTTCCATGGTTTGCATTCCAACCTCAGATCCAGGATCCTGGAGATGGGAGTAGGCCCAGGTGATCGGGTGCGGGAGGTCTACCGCAATGCTCTGTGGGTCGAGAAGTCTTTCCAATCTGGAGGCCCCATCCTCATCAGTTCGAACAGTGAGAGTGAATTCGAAGAAGACTCTTCCGAGGATTCTGTTAGCAAGTAGGAAAATGATTTCTCTTAGGAGTAGAACTAGTATTCTTTATTCTATTCATTGTCTTATTTGATTTATTGGTTGCTTAGGATTTATTACTTAGAAGTTAATTATATTCTATGCTGGTGTTTATCATTTTTAAAAACAATATGTTCTACTCCTCTTTTAATTTAATAAAGAAATGGTTTTGATTTTTACTCAAAGTGTTACTTCTGTATCATGCTTTCTCTTCTAAACCCTTTCATCATTTATGATCTTAAGCCTGAGCTTCCTCCTCTTCTGGCGCCGTGGACCCTGTGGATCTATTTCTGAAATCTTTTCTCTCTTTCTGCGACCAAACTTCCTCTTTCGTCTTCTGTGCTTTTATTTTCTTGGTCTTGATTTCGAAATTCCTTTCAGGAACTTCTCCCTTAGGATTCGGGGACGAATCCTGTTGAATGGGGAATATTTTAACAACCCGACCTCTCGGAGTCGGTTGTTAGAAAATTTAATTTCCGGTTCATTTAAATTAGACCATCTCTCTTAATTAAGCTCAATCTTAATCTCTTTTTAATCTCTTGCGAGCCCATTAAACCCAGCCCAATTAAGTTAACCTAAATATAAATACCCTAATCTTTTATTAATCCTTATAAAACCTAAATCAGAGACACCCTAGCCTCTCTTCCTTCTTTCTCTTTTTCGTCACCGTCTCCTTCTAATCCGCCGTCGACTTCCAAGGCAGTTTCCCGGCGAACCATGAAGGTCCACGTGAGGCACATCATATCAAATAGAAGCCCCAAGAGTAACTTTCCAGTAAGACCAAACTCGTTCTAATCTGAGGTCGGTGTCAAGAGTTATCACCAGTCGCGTGCCGGGTATTCAGATCTTTTCTTTCTCTCATCCTTGCTCAGATATCTTTTCTCTCTCCTTCCAGTCGAAACTTCTCCTTCCTTCTGAGATGTCTGCGCCTCCATCTCCTCCTCTCTTCGAATTTGGATCCAGCGATGAAGGATCTCCGGTTCGCTCTCCATCCCCCATGTCTTCTCCTCCTGTCTCGGAGCCTTCTGTGCCAAGGTGAGGATTTCGTGCTTCACCCTCTCTATCATTCATGTTCATGGTAGCTACTCTTTTCTTAAACCAAATACTAGATCTGCTTGCTATGGTTTTAGATTGCTAGAACCTGGATCTTTGTTGACTGTGTGTTGATGATTGATGGTTGCTGATGGCATAATAAATAATGAATCTGAATTTGGATCTAAGCCTTTGGATCCCTTAAAACATGGATTGGTTATGTTTGATCTGGATCTACTCTGCTTGAGATAGACTAGGTTGTGTGATATAGAACTGCTAGGTCCCTGACCTTTCTGTTGTCATTTGTCGGTGCTGCTTGCTGAGCTAGTGTCGTCTGTGTGAATGTGGCACTAGTTCAACGGTGATGAAAGGTACGCCGATCCTTTCATAGTCTGTATGACCCAGGCCTGTCTGTGTCTGTGGTGATTGGGAGATAGAGTAACCTTGCTTATTGAGATCCCTTTCTATTGTGATTGGGTGACCCCTTTCTATTGTGAATGGGTGGGTGGAGTGACATTGTTGATAAAACGATGATGATGCTTCTTTCAATGGGTTAAGGTTCCTCTGAAACTTGGTAGTTGTTTGTAGGGTTACCCTTGGTTGCTAGCTTGATTTAGGATTAGTCTATCTGCTATGTTCATGTTTGTTAGATGGTGTTGTGGGCCTCCTTAAGGCTCATTCTTGCTGAGTAATCTCAAATTACTCACCTTTCCTCTTTCCTTATTTTATTTTCAGGTAGATCAATTATGCCTATGTTGTTGATTGGTACCTTGGCGTTTTCGAACCTGGCAGACTTGAGGCTCACCAACTGGACTAAATTAGACGTCTGAGCGAATGCGGTTAGATGGCCAACCTAACATGCCTTATTTTACTTCCTCTCTAGGAAACCTGGGATAGGGATGTTACAATCATGATATCAAATAACGAACTATAAACGATATGGCCATTATGTTTGATACTCCGTCTTATTTATCGTATATTAAAGTTATTGAAACGTTATGCACCATAACATATGATTTCGTTGACTTAAGCTCAAAAAATTGGTCGTTACTGGGTCTGTTCATGACTTCATGTTTGTGATAACACCGCGAATCGCGAGATGCAGTGTATTTTTCTTGCAAATTATATTATGTACCCGAACATTTCATTATATGTAACTTAAAACATTTTTTTACTGTCACAAGCACCTTTAACAAAAGGTTTAGTTTTTCTGTGCACGAGAGTTCGACTTCAAATTTTGTAAGTGGAATTAGATAGGCTAATGGGCGTTGACCGTAGGTCCCCACCAAACAAAAAGAAAGAGTCTACATTCTTTCCAGGATTTACACCTACAATTTTGTTGGTATCTTAATTGTTGTCAGCTAACATTAGTGGTATATTAAAAGACTTGACAAAAGATCTCAAAATCACTAAAGTTCAAATCTCGAAGGTAAAAAAAGGATAATTCAACATGCTATAACTTTCTGAAGGACCAAACTTTTCAAAAATAAACAAAAAGTTTGAATTTGTAGTCTAATTCTTTTTTACCCGAAACTATACTGTTATAATTCAACCTCAATCCTGTAAAACTCAAAAGTCTAATCTACATCTTATTCCATTTTTCGTATTGTTTCCTTCGAATGAGTATAACATCATTTCCGTTTGGAAAAGAAAAAAAAACTATTAATATTGACACAATAGAGAAAAACTTATTCACAAAAGAAAGCGTGGAACAAAACAAAATATGCAAAGGTAAGACTCTGATTACGGAACTACATCAGCACGACAAATAGGACACGTCGAGCGATAAGAGAGCCAAATATCAACACAGTCAGCATGAAACACATGTCCACAAGGTGATACCAAACGCAGCGTTTCATCGTTTTTGTATTCGTTCAGACAAACCGCGCATACTAGCTCGCCTTGTCCTGGCTCAATCCCATTAGCCTCCGCGTAAATGAACGAGGGAAACGATTCTATGGCCTTAGCGTCAAGTCCTCGAGGTAGTCTCCTCGGACTCAATTCAGCCTCATATGCGTCCCTTGCGGTGGAAGCGGCGGCTCTATCTCTGCATCGCCGTATGAAGTATGTGACGCAGTAAAATGCAATGAACGCTATACTCGCAAACGCAAACACAATTGATCCTTCGTTTCTTCTGTAGTAGGACATGATGTAAATTTTAACATCTTTCTCTGTTTGTATGCGAATATAGATAAAAAGAAAATAAGAGACTCGATCTAAGTGGCTAGGTCATATATATATATATATATATATATATATATATATATATATATATATATATATATATATAGTATATATATATATATAGTGAGAGGGAAATGGCGTTCACGTCTTCTTGGTAAGATTGTAGGTAATTTCTCGTTTGAGACGAGTCTCGTGTTTTGGCTTTAAACAAATACAATAGGCTTGCAAGATGAATATCAAAATAGTTGAATAAGTTATAAAATTACAGAAAAGAATAGGACAAAAAAAACTTATAACTGAGTAAAACCTTAAACGCCAAAACTACTATTTACCAGATAGATAAATTTAATAATTTTTTTATATATTGAAATTTTATAAAAACTAATGTATAGTTAGAGAGAATCATGTTTTTAAAACATAAAATATTAAATAAAACCTAAATAACTAGTGTCCAGGTAAGTCGGAAAAAAAAAAAAACTTGTGTCCAGGTAATTTCCACAGGCGAACCGTGCTTCGCGTCTGATACGCATCTCGCGTTTTGACTTTAAATAAGCACAATGACTCTTCCACTTTCCGAGTTGCTAATATTTTAGATTAAGTAGGCTGGATAGTTTAATTTGAATAAAATATCCATAATCATAAGGAAAAGACTATTAGGTTTTCATTGTTTTCTTCGAAATATCAGGAAAAGCATACGTAAAAACAAATCATTGGCAATATTTTCAGTTTATAAGAAAAAGTTCAAAAATAGGCAATTTATTTTCAGTTTAGAATATACTCTTCTTGTAGTATATTCTACATACGGGAAGTGAAATTGTATGTGACTTTGTTAACACTACCTTCAAATAGTGCCGGCTAAAGATTTTTCGGGCTCTCTTGACCAAAAATTGGGTTTAAAAATCAACTAATTTTTTTTTTTTACTTTTGACTTTGTTAACACTACCTTCAAATAGTGCCGGCTAAAGATTTTCAACTATTTTTTTTTTTACTTTTGAATATATTGAGTGTGAAGTTTGGATAAGGTAAGAATCAGTTTAGAAATAATTGGACATGCATTTATTTTTTGTTTCAATTATGTTTGAAAGTTGTTTTTGGTTACTCCTTTACATATGATTGAAACTCATATTGCTGATAATTTTCTATTTCAGATTGTGAGAGAAGAACATAAAAATTAAAGCTGCTCGAAGCGCAGGGTTTCCCGTCTATGTTCAGGGTTTGGATGAAAAAATGCATATCCTCACCAAGGTTCTCAGTTGCGGTAAATAGGGAACTCGCCGGTTTTTTCGCAGGAAAGAAAGGCTTACGACAGGGAGACTATATTTCTCCTTACCTATTTATCATGGTGATGGAGTCACTCTCTAAGTTGCTCGACAATGCCGTGGACAATAGCCTCATAAGACTGCACCCCAGTGCGATGAGCCAAGAATCACTCACCTGCTCTTCGCGGATGATCTGTTAGTTTTCTCAGATGGATCCAGGCACTCACTCTCTGGCATAAAGCAGGTGATACGGGAATTTAAGGATCTCTGGTTTTGATATGAATGTTTCCAAAACTGAGATTTTCTTTGCTGGGTATTCGGAAATCGAAACTGCGGTGTTGAGTGGTATTTCTGGGTTTAAGATGGGAACTTTTCCAACTAGGTATCTCGGCTTGCCTCTGAACCCACGAAGGATCTCCATGGCTACTTTGCAACCATTCATAGAGAGGATCACTGGAAAATTGCATAACTAGACTGTCAGATTGTTATGTTTTGCAGGCAGGATTTGACTAATCTCATCTGTCGTCTATGGGATGGTAAAATTCTGCAGCTCGGTATTTGTCCTGCCTAAGAGTTTCTACGCAAAGGTGGACTCCTTATGTGCTGCTTTTCTCTGGAAGAACAAAGTGGGTTCTGCGGCGGGTGCTCGGGTCTCTTGGCGGGATCTCTGTCGTCCTAAAGCTGAGGGTGGCATTGGTATCCGCTTGCTCGAGGACTTTGAAATGGTCTTCAGACTCAAGCAGGTTTGGAACCTTTTCTCAAATTCTGGCTCTCTCTGGGTTGCGTGGTTAGAAAACTCATATCTTTGGTAGAAAGAGCTACTGGGTCACGGATGATGCGGGCAGATTCTCAAGGACTATTCGCAGCATGCTCCAGCTGATGCACCTCTTACACAATTTCCTTCGTTGTGACATTGGTAACGGAGAAAAGGCTTCCTTTTGGTTTGATTGCTGGATGGATTTGAAACCTCTAATCTCTTACTTTGGTAACTCTGGCCTGCGCCAACTTCGGATTCATCTTGATGCTAGGGTCGCTCGCGCGTCGTCATCGGGTAACTGGAGGCTTCCTGCAGCTCTATCTGATCAGGCTCAAAACCTACAGATAGCTCTCTCTGAGTTATCACCCCCGCAAGCCACTAGAGGTGCTGATACTTTCTTTGGAAAAACTTAGCAGGGAATTATGTTCCATCTTTCTCCTCCAAGGCTACTTGGGAAAACTTGCGTATCCCCTCTCAGATGGTGCACTGGCATAATCTGGTTTGGTTCAGCGAAGGCATCCCTCGGTGCTCCTTCATCATGTGGTTGATCATGCTTAGGCGCCTTCCCACAAAAGACAGGCTCTGCAGCTGGGGATTAAATGTCTCTGCACAGTGTGTTCTATGCAACTCGGGGCTAGACTCCCATGATCATTTATTCTACTCTTTCCCGTTTGTTGCGGAAGTTTGGGATCTGTTCCGTGGTTCTCCATGGCATAATTCCTCTTCGAGTGTCTTCACGTCTGCGCTTTGGTTAGTCAGCGATTAAAACACCCTGCCTCGGTCTCTCAACACCATTTTCAAACTCCAGTGCTAAATTATCTCGTATCAAGTTTGGAGAGAGAGAAATGGGCACATCTTCAGAGGGACTTCTTTGTCAGCCTCGCTTATCCGTCGTGCGGTGGACAGGACTATGCGGGATCGTCTTCTCTGCTTCCCCCCTGCCTCTGCTTCTTCTCCCTCTCTGCTTCAGCTCTATTTTCAGAACCTTGGTTCGCTTAGCTAATAGGTATTTTTCATTTCTTTTGCTTATATGTAATCGCATAACTATGTAACCTTCAGGAAAATTGGTATGAATCTTAACCTTTTACCCAAAAAAAAAAACATAAAAATGGATAGCACATGGAGATGAAGATAAATTAATTTCTCGATTACTATTTTCTTTTTTACTATGTAAACTTTTCAAATTTTTTGCTATTTGAATGCTACTTGAATGTTTTTTGAATCTTTCATATTTGTAACTTTTGCTATGATGATACATTTTAATTATCTATGTTATTTCAATATAATTTTTAAAAATTAAAGATATTTTTTAAAAAAATCAACAAAACTGGATATCCGATCAGATATCCATATATTCGGTTTGTGAACGGATATCCGGAAACCGGATATCCAAAGTTTTCGAATCCGGATTCGGATAGTAAAATTGATTATCCAGCAGATATAGATGCGGATTTTGATACCTTGAAAAGTCTGGATATCCGGTTTCATTCTAGGCATAACATTCTCTGTTATTATTCTCCTAATTCTGTTTCATTTTTGAATCTTAAGAATACATAAGTAATTAAAAGCTACACTCTTGTACAATTTCGCAAGGGTTCAGAATCTAGTTTCTATATATATAAGTAAAAATGACATCTCGAATATCATGGATTTCAGAGTGATCGCAATCATGCTCTCCTTCTTAAGCCCTCCAAAGTCCAAAGCTTTTCAAGAAAAAAGTTTCATAGGAAGGAAACATTATTCGGCTTTATACATGATAACACCATATTTGTACCAATTTTCAATACTGATTTCAAATGTTTTTTCAAAGGTTTTAATTAGTTTTAGGAACTTTTAATATAGTTTTTCTATGTTTGTAGTTTCATGGCCCTTTTTTCAGGAAACCTAGGTAATGGAAGAAATCCACATTTTTAGCTCAGAGTCAGACCGTCAGAAGTCAAGCCACAAATGAAGACCTTCTCACCATCTTAACCAGCTCAAATTTGAAGACATTCAAGACGGACCAACAAGCTTTCCATAGCACTTTACATCAGGACAATCCAACGGTGCAATCAAAAGATACATGAAGAGCAAGTTGACCAAATTCACCAGTCCCTGAAGACTATCACCCGCGGCAAAAGTGCATTTCACCTGCCCCGGAGGACTCTCACCCACGGTGGACCTATGCAGAGCCACAAGGCCCAACATCAAAGCCCATTTCGTCATTCCTCTTCAGAGTAGATGTCAATGTCGGGGACCTTTAACATTGCCTACGAGTTTCAAGTCATAATCGAGTTTAAAGTACGTTATCTTGTTCATTTTTTTTAAATATTCTATTATTTCATAAATATATATATATAGATAAATAAGTAAAAAACGAAAATATATATATATAAATATATATATATATATAATAATAATAATAAATAAATAAATAATAATAAAAATTGAAAAATTATATATATACATATAAATAACACTGAGATGGGCGAGAACAATAGACACTTGCAAGGTTTAGATAGGCTTAGAGATAATCATTACGTCCAGCAAAAAGTTGATGAATACGTTCGGTTCCAAGATGCTCCTCGCCTAACTCTAAGAGATTATAACACTCTGTATGCTTTCTATGAGAACCGTTCTCCCATTAGTCTACAATCCATCAATGTAGACTATGAGATTAGCCCAAAACTCATAAAATTGGTCAAGCAGAACCAGTTCCATGGCGATGCATCGGAGAACCCCATGGACCATCTCGAAGATTTTGAAGAAATCTATAGCACCAAGTAATTGATCGGAGTTCCTGCAGATTACTTAAAGTGCAAGTTGTTTCCATTTTCTCTTTGTGATAAGGCACATGCGTGGTTCAAATCTTTGTCCCCTGGTTCACTCGGATCATGGGACGAATGCAAGGCTGCCTTCCTTAAGAATTTCTACACCACCTCTAGATCAAAGTTCTTTAGAGACAAGAT